CTGAGGATGGAGACGGATCCCTCATAGGAATGCCCCGAATGTTGTGATGTAGATTCTTTAACAAACTCAGCTCAACTCAGATCAAACAAACGAAAATCTTTACTGCAAAAAAATGTAAGCTCATCCTAAATTTGCGTAGCAGAAAGCAAAACAACAAATCGTTTTGATGATAACGTTCAACCCCACAAGGACATCACACCGAGCGATAAACAGCCAGGGACACAAAGTGCCACCATTCCGATAAGATTTTAGTTGAGGCAAGAATTGATATCACAGCACTCGGGGCATTCCAATGCGTACTTGTTTATTTATCTACGGCAGCCAGCGCAGAGTTCCAATACTGATGGTACCGGTCATCATCATCATCAGTTCTCGTTATGCCTAGTGGCACATGAGGCTTCAGAGAGGACTTTCCATGATTTCCTGTCCTGTGCAATCTTCAGTGCAGTTTTCCATGTCAAAGGTGCCGCACTTAGGTCACTTTCCATCGTTCGTCTCCATGTTGTTTTTGGGCGCCCCTGTCTTTTCTTTCCCTCTGGTGTCCATGTGAGAGCTGTTTTGGCAGGTAAATCAGAAGTCATTCTCATAACATGGCCAAGCCATTTCCATCTTCTCTTGGTAATCATATTGTCTAAAGTTTCTTGGTTTGTGGCTTGAAGTAGTTTAGTGTTTGAGATTGTATCTGGCCAGAAAATTTTGATAATTCTACGTAGACATGTGTGGTGGAAGGTGGACAGCTTGTGTGCATCCTTTTTGGTCATTCTCCAGCATTCCGCTCCATAAAGAAGAACTGGCAAAATTATGCTCTTGTAGAGTTGGAGTTTCGTTCCTCTGTAGTAATTGTTGGATTTCCAGATTTGCCCCATCCTTCCAAAAGCAGCTCTAGCTTTGTTCGGACGTGACTGTATGTCTTCCTCTGTCCCTCCCAGTAGGGACACCACACTGCCAAGATATGTGAAATGTTCTACATTTTCAAATGATTAGTTAATTATGGTCACTGGTTGTTGGTTTGGACTGTTTGTAACGATCTTAGTTTTCTTTGTATTTATTCTCAGTCCCACCATTTCTGCTGTGCAGTTTAGTCTGTTACTTTTCTCTTGTATATGTTCATGTTTATGTGATAGGAGTGCTATATCATCTGCAAAATCAAGGTCCTCAAGCATGGTGAATGGAGTCCATCGTATGCCTCTTGATGTCCTGTCTACTGTGTTCTTTAGTATCCAATCAATCACAAGGTTGAAGAGGAGAGATGACATAACACATCCCTGTCTTACACCCGTCTTTACTGGGAAAGATGTATTGTAATTTTTTATACTGCAGGAAAAGTCTTTATAGAAGAGAGCAATTATGTTGACTATTTTTTTCTGGAATTCCATAATGTCGTAAAAATTTCCACAGACCGTCTCTATGGACGCTGTCAAAAGCTTTCTCAAAGTCCACAAAGGTAATATATATACTTCTCTGCCATTCGTCGCATTTTTCTAAAATGTTATGTATGGCGAAGATGTGCTCAGTTGTTCCTCTGCCCTTTCTGAATCCTGCTTGTTCCACTCGTAGGCATTTATCTACTCCTTTTTCAAGCCGCATTATGATGATTTTACAAAATATTTTGCTTGGTACTGAGAGTATAGTAATTCCCCTCCAATTATTGCAGTCTGTTAAGTCTCCTTTGGGGGAAAAAGGGGGGGGGGGATTTTGACTATTGTTCCTTCAGTCCAGTCGCCAGGCAACACTTCTTTTTCCCAAATATCCTTGAACAATGGTTCTAGAATGCTAGCAGTTGTGTTGGGATCTACTTTGAGAAGTTTTGCTGGCAGTTCGTCTTTGCCTGGTGCTTTGTTGTTCTTTAAAGTGTGGATAGCTTTATGGTACCGGTCACAATCTTGGTAAATGTCCGTCTTACCTTTCCTCTGAGTGTAGTGAGCCGGCCAAACCCTCTGGTTACACCCAGGTGCCTCATTCTCTCCCGACCATAATAATCTGATTTCTCTACTGATTCCGTTGCTTGTTCCCAGAGGGCCTTGATCGCATCTGCATTGTCATGTATCGATTCACCATCCAGTAGTGTAGATCCAGCTAATCTGTCTGCTTGTACATTACCCACTACGCAGGCATGGCATGAAGAAAAGATCCAAAGTATGCTCACCGTATGAGAATCACCAGGGGACGGGTCTCAGAAACCCCGTTCAATACATTGGTTGTATTATATTAGGACCCCGGTAACATCAAAAAATAAATTTTGCTTCAGAACCAAACCCGGCATTTTTTCTGTTGCAGTTTTTCCAAGCAAACTTATGTTCAGTAGTTTGCCATTGCTCTCTAAACCTTCAGTTCTCAACGCCACAGGCAAAACCAACGCAAGGAGGTTTGCTGTCAAATCATCTGCAGCTGGGTTCGAGCCCGACACCCCGGCATTACGAAGTTCGCTGGCAACGTCTAAGACACAGACGCCAATTCTTGAGACAAGTTTTCAAAACACTGCTTACTTCAATACTAGAGATACAGTAAAACCCAGTGCCAAAATTTATGGTGTTTACTCTTGAGAGGAGATGGAGAATTCTTAAAAGCTACATAAATCTTATCTTGATATAAAGAAGTGAATCATGGACAGCTGATAAATAAGAAAAAAACTTTTTTTTTTTTGGAAGCTGCGGAGATGTTTTATAGACGAATGATAAAAAAAAAAAAAAAAGAATAATGAAGACATTTTGAAAGAAACTGACTAAAGAAGAAAACTGATTGCCCACATCAACAGCGACAAAAAAGACTGTCTACATTGTTTGTTCCTGTGATGAGAAGGAGAAATCTAGAGAAGGTCGTGACAGTAGGAAAGTTGGAGGGGAGGAGAAGCAGAGGGAGACCTTGAGAAACGATGCTGGACAGTTTGACCTCAAAGCATAAAAGACCCTCTGCGTCATGGCTGGTTGAAAGTACACGAAACAGAAGGCTGTGGATAGACATAACCACCATAGCCATACGACAAAAGCTTTAGGAAAAAGAAGAGTCGGTGACTGCAAGTGTCGTAAGCGGTTGGTTCGCTGTTGTCTAACAAAACATGTTTGATTCAATAAGGGAGATAATTTACATACGTAAAAGGGACAATGATGATGTTAACAATAATATGCTTATTATTTCCCCTAATGTTATTATGCTTTATTACAATCAATCGCTAGAAGTTCTTCTGCTGCTGCTGCAATAGGCACCATTTCTTCTTCTCCTTCTTCTTCTTCCTATCTTCTTCTTCTTCTTCTTCTTCGTCTTCTGCTTCTTCTTCTTTCTTTCTGCTGCTACCAAAAATGTAGACAATAACAAAGGTAACTCCGAAAAGTAATGAACAATTTATCCTAATTTTAAAACTGAGTGTACTGCAAGATATTATTTTTTTCTTTTTTCCGTCTGCATCATCATCATCGTCATCTTCTTTTCCTTCTTCTGCTACCAAGAATTTAGACAATAACAAAGGTAAAATCCGAAAGTAATGAACACTTAATATCCTAATTATACAACCAAGCGTACTACGTGATATTATTTCTTCTTCTCCTTCTTTCTTCTTCTTCTTCTTCACATAATACTTTTGTCCCAATGTCAGACGCAATTTTTTTAAAGCCTGATCCAGGCTGTTGCCGGGGTCCCTTATGAAACCCACCCTATGGGTTGAACGGGGTTTCTGAAACTTGTCCCCGGGTGATCCTCATCTGAATGGAGGCACTTTGTGTCACCTGGTGTTTATCGCTCGGTGTGATGTCCTGGTGGATTTTGAACGTCATCATCACCACCAGCATCTTCTTCTTCTTTAACTTTGTCTTCTTCAGAAAACCCAGTGAAGTGTTTGAGGCAAACTAAGGGGATCGTCTCCGTGACTTAATTTCTGGAAAGTTAGTTGTGGTGTATTGGTGACAGGACACTTATTCACTATGGGGGCAGTGCTGTCTGTTTCCTACCCGTCTTTCAGTTGAATAATTCTTTCAATTCTGGAAGCTAAATGAATGTTTTATTTATTTGTGCACGGAGTGACGGATATATGGATGTATGTTTAGAAGGGTCGACGAACTTTTAAATGGATGGATAGATGATTGGATGGATGGATGAATGCATTAATGGATGGATAGATGGATGGATGGATGGGTGAATTGGTCGGTGGATGGTAGCTCGACGAAGGAACATATCTGCGAATAAATTGACTGATAGGTGTATGGATTCAAAGGACTGGTGGAATGGCAATTGATGGACTGACTGACGGATAGATCAAAGGCTGGTGAAAGGGCAATGGGTGGACTTACGGATATATTTTTTAAATAGTAATCTACTACATATGTTCAAAAGGCTGCAGTCACTTGTTATTCTGAACATTTCTGCCAACTCTTAAAGTATTTTGCTGGTGTATGGATTAGGGTGTGTATGGGTGGATGGACAGTCAAATTCATGTAATTTCTCTTTCTCGTTCATTGCATATTCAATAGTAAAAATCTTATTTATGTCTGGAAAAGATATCAAGAAAAGATATAAAACCAAAAGAAAAGTATACCAATTAATTTTTTTCCTTTTTTTTAAAATTATATTATTTGTTTACATCATTGCTTTTCTCTTAATCTTGAGTGTGGATATTAAATCTAAAAAATCCAGGCTCGTGCCTGGAGCTGGTCAAAGAGTGCAAATGAGATTAATTTGCCTGGTAACGCGTAAGTCAAGAAATTCGACAGTGTGATGGTATTTCAGGATTAAGTGATCAAAGTGTGTGCTCTTGTCTAGACATATTCCCCGTGTGTATCCTCCATTGTTTGTTTAGCTGCGCTCCATTGGTTGCCGCCCTTGGCCCCGACACCTGGTGGCGCTGGCTGTCTACAGCGGGAGATGCGAGCTGTCCGACTTCTGCTCCAGTGTGGTGGCCGCCTCAAGTCCAGTCTTCCGTCACTTTTACCGTCGAATTCGCCGTGTTTTCACCGCCACTAACATGTAATCTTCTTCGAATTCACAACTACGGTTTGTTCTTAACATAAAACATGTCACAGAAACGTATTCGAGAGGAAATTAAGCCCGAAAATTCGAAAAATTCACCGGTGGTGTCAAAATGTTTAGCCATTGTTTTGATTCCCAAGTCTCGGAGGAATTCAAATTCTGATAAAGTTTTCGACAACAATGAAGCCGATGAAACAATTGTGGGTGTAAATGATGGACATTCAGGTGATGTTTCTGAAGTAGGTAAGAATGTTTCTTGTGCAGGATATAACGGAAAGGAGTTATTGCAAGATTTTAAAGTTAGAAACAAAACATGTTATTGGAATCCATCTTTGGTGGAAAGTATTAAAAGTTTAGAGTACAAAGGATTCGTGGAACCTTCAACTATTCTTGTCACTGGAACAGATATTCATCTGGAGAATCTCAGGTCGGCATGGGGAAGACGTGTACTCAAAGCTCCTGCTGGATTTCTTATAGACAGAATCGGTAAGTGCATGCAGTTTTTGTAAGAATATTCTGTACGCACAATTAATTACTGTTCATGATGATTCCTCTGTTCAAACCTGGACTATCATTCTAATAATTGAGGTATAGTTAATTTCACTACTCATACTGGCCTGTATACGCGGCTTGTCAATACTTGTGATTGTCAAGTTTCATATTTTTTAGGTATCCACTTTAAATAATTCATCTAATCATCATGTGTGTAATATATTGTTAAGGAATTTTTACTGTGGTCTGGAAGCTAATAATTATTGTATCTTAAGATATATGAACATCTCATATGCAAACTTCTTTTTGTGATGTATTGTATTGCTTCAGTACTCAAATACAAATTTAAAATATTTAGATGCTTATATTAAAATATTTGAGTTGTAGGGTGCCACTTCTGATGACCAGATGATTACTTTTATGCTCGCTCCACTATGCAGTTTATCTACTTTTACTACTAAATGTACAAATTGTTAGTGTAACTATTTTATTGGTTACATTGTTTGCATAATAGACCCACTGCCCACCCAACAAGCATGTCATAAGAGTCAACTAATTGGGAGCTTCCTTCAAAGTTGTATATAATTGATCTGAGAGGCAAGGAACCAACAGTCTGCACATACTTAAGACACTTTAGTCAGATCTGTCAAACTGATGCACATGCAACTTACATTTTATCATACCATTATATTTCCTCTGTTCTGTGCAGGCACTAGTTAATGAATTTCTGTAGTTTAGTCTTTAGGCTTATGAGCAGACAAGCTATTGTTAAATACCAGCTGAGATGTAGATTTTGTGGTGTTAGGGCCAGTTTCTCCATGTTTTTGGAGCGTTGGAAGTGCTGGCATGCTGAAATATAGAACAGGCGATATCAACAGCATAGCGGAACACCCCAGTAGCCTTGTGCCAAGCAACGTTCAGGAACTACCAATCAGAAGTGAGCTAGTGTGTATATAGGCGGGGCATGGAGAGAGAAATATTATTATTACTTTAACCTTTAGTGGAAACTCAGCTGTATAGAACTGTTGAAGACATGCGTCACACTACAGGATTTCAAAGAGGCTTGTTGTAGTTTTCTCATCTAAACACCACTTATGTTTATGTTTATTCAAGGATCAACATCATGGGATACAGGTGTAACCCATAAGTACTTCGTTCTACTTTTAACTTAAGCCTGAGTCTGAAGAATCTCAGCGGAGTGCACAAACTCTGTTGCACCAACGAGGATCTTGAAAAACTCGGGGTAGATTTTTTACTCCAAATTTTGCCCGAACAGCGCCATTAGGCTACTCTTCAATTTCCAACTGCCAATGGATTTTTCCACATGTGCAATATTACACATGGGCGTCTGACCTTACTGCCCAGACACCAGGAGAAAATTGCTAGAAGCCCAAAAGAAAAAATCCCAGCCCTCACTGGGGATTGAATCCAGTACCTCTAGCACTCGAGATAGACACCATGCCTCTAGACCACGTAGCCCCCTTGCAGGGGAATTAAAGAGAAGCTAGAAAAGAGCAAAAGGAAGACAAAGATATAGATACATGAATGGCTTCTAGCAGAAGAGTAACTTTATCATAGGAAGAAGAACAAAAACAGCCTGAAAACATGATGCTATCTCAGGAAAGGCCAGGCTCTTAGTTGGTGGCTGGTCTAACAGGGAAACTCTTGACAGCTGGACAGGCAGACACAACCAGTCTTTTGATCCAGCAGCTTCTGCTTTGTTCCAAACACATTGATGTTAACTTTATTTTTGGAGTAAACAAGGTAGGCCAAGGGAGGTATAAATGCTGCATGGGCAACAGAGTGTATAATGCTGCCCAGGGTTTGTGCTAAAAAGAGGAACTTCATTGTGGCCTAAATGAGTCTTTAATAATGTTTCCTAGTGTGAACAGGTCCTAGTAATCACACACAGAATTGCTGTGAGTTGTGATTCCCGTACCTCCACTATCAAAGTATAATACTGTCATCTGAAAAAAAAGGAAAGTTGTCAGCAACAAATATAATTTGATGTCATTCTTCTTCATGTTCACAGACTGTAAACTGCATGAGAAAGTTCTCGTTGTTTACCCACCTGTGGACTTTAGACTTGTTCCAGAACCTGAGTGTTGCACCAACATCCATTTTACAGAACAGACTTATCTGTATGCAGACTGTTGGTTCCTTGCCTTTGAAGCAGATACACTGCGACTGTGAAGGAAACCCTAAATTAGTCAACTTTTATGACTTGCTTGTTAGGGAAGCAGGGTTCTTTTCTTATTTTTTCTACAATGGGGCGCCAAAACCCACACTGAAGCTACACTGATTCAAAGGTTATTAGGTTTGATTAAATCACTATTTTGGTTTAGGAATGTTTGACAAGAACCTCAATTTGTAATGACATCACACATCCCCCCTGATATCTTGAAGAGTAAGACCCGATAGATTCCATCCTCTCAGAGTACAAATCAGGAGGTCCCTGCGCAAGCTGTACATGAAGAAACATCTACAGCAGTTGGACGGCACAAATAGGCCACAAAACCTGTGCCCTGGCAGCTGTACTAAGAAAGGACCCGTCTACAAAGTCTGTCACCTTGGATGTAATCCGCCTGCAAATAGTCTGTTGCCTTCCATAGAATCTGTCTGTAGCTAGGGAATGTTTCTTTGGATAAAGCTGACTTGAGAAAGTAAGCCAGACATAAATGCATGCCCCCGTTTGACAAATGGACCTCAGCTGTACACAGTTAGTTATGTTGTGGAGCAGCACCATCGCCCAGGCTAGTTGTATGGCATTTGGCAATGGTTGTGTTTGTTTTGGCAAATAGCATAACCATCAAAGTGCACATCAGAAGTTTGCTGCTGGAGTCTCAGTGTTGGTTGAAGGATTTGTCCCACTGTGTTACAGCTCTATTTGTCCTATGTTTAATCTCTACCAGCTGTTGATTGAGCTGCTGTTTATCTGGTAACATCTTATATATTGAATATGCAGTCGATCGCGCCTTCCCCCTATCTCCTGATTGGTGTTGGTTGATTTCCTCTGGATTTTCCAATTTTCATCAGCTTGTGTCAGATGCCTGTCGGGGCTGGCACGGGTGCTTATGCTTCTCCACATCTTGCGATCCCTAGCAGTCAGTCGACATTCTTGTGCTGGAACCTTTTCATTGTCTGGAAAAGGATTTTTTTTTCTCTCTCTCTCTCTCTCTCTCTCTCTCTCTCTCTCTCTCTCTCTCTCTCTCTCTCTCTCTCTCTCTGTGTGTGTGTGTGTGTGTCTAGTTTTGATACATGTGTCAGTTTTTTTTTCTCTATAATAATATTGCCAAAAATTATGACTACTTCTCATTTTCATGGTGTCCATCCCTTCAGCTCTTTCCCATGTCATTGCTCATTAGTCTGTCCAATTAATTTTAAGCATTCTTTTGTAAAATCACATCTCTATGAGTGCCCTGGGGGAATTCTTTGGCTCGTTTACTCGTTGTGCCCAGAATTCACATCCACACTCGTTCTATGTAACACGCAAAAACGCTTTCCAGTGTTTTCGCCGTTGGCTGTTTAATTATCCTGTTTCCCAGTCATGTTTTACACTCTTTCAAGATTATTCTGTGTACGGCGCGAACATGTACACATAACTCCAGTATTAACACGATGTGGGATGCGCTATATATAGCCTTCACCCCACACACACCGTTTTCGGTCAGTGTCTGCCACATTTGACCGGGGCAATAAAGCTGCCAGCGCAGTGATAGACCGGCCACTGGGAGTTGCGAGTGTCCACCCAGTTCTCCTGCCTGTGTCTGTTCCCGGGTACATGTAGTAATTTCTTTTGCGGCAGTCTACATTCTTACACTACATACCTTATCTAGTATAATAGATTGGGAGATGAGGCTTCTCTCGGTTTTGCAAACGTTGAAGGCCTGTATCAATTTATCTTACTAGAATTTGATGACTGCTTCTTCTAATAATTGCGATTAATGTTAAAGTAGAAAGGATCGCCTTCGTTACACTATGTTATTCTATATAACTGGGTCTCTCTATGTAAACTGCTGAGAGCGCCGTTTAAAGCACGAACTCCGTAGTTCCAGTGACGATCCACGTGGATCTCCGTAAAAACTGGTATAGCCGTTACGGGTGCCCTAATTATAACTTATTTGGTTGTTGAGGGATCCACCTTGTTTGTCTACCGTCTAGATTGAGATTCTTTTATTTCAGGATGGTGTGGTAAAACCTTTAGGTAGCAGCAGGGAGGCGACAAAAGGATCGATTGATTAGAGACCCTCCATTAGTTGTCTTTCTGCTTTAGTCTCTTTCATATATACAAGTCCATACGAAAGTTGCAGATGTAGACCAAGAATCCCCAAATGAAACAAAAGCAACAACACTGCTCGAGCGATGTCATCTTGAAACATGAACTCTCAGTCAATCAGAAGTGGGGTAAATATCCTGCTGTTGCCATGTAGTCGTTTCATAATGCAGTGAAAATGATCCAACAAGATTGCAGGCGTGGTGACAGACAGACAAATCTGCTTTGAAAGTTTATCATATACACAGACCGAGGCCATGTTAACTTATTTCCAGGAAAGGGGGGGGGGATATGGCTGTGGCAAAATATAATTCTTCCCATAAAGCCTTAAAAATGTCTCTTATTGCCGCCATTTATTTTGAATCCACCGATGCCTTCACATTCACGGTTCACCGTACGTACTTACAATAATCACACTTTCATCTTCTTTGTAAGTTCCCCGCCCCCCACACCCCTTTTTCATTTCGACACTTGAGATTTGAACGTTACACTCACCGACACTGAACTGCCACGCTGCAGGAGCCACTCCACGTCTCCCAACTTCTGGCGCAGGTAATACACTCATCCCGAGGCTTGTCGATCCTCACTCACACATCCTGATGTGTTTACGTGTTGTTAGCCCGAGGTTTAGTCCCTGGCGGCAATGTTGAGGCTTGTGCTAGCTTTTGTGGCTGCGACCTACTGGCGTTGAGTGGACAAACATGGCGTAACCTCCTACAAACACACCGTACTGCTGGACACTGCCCTTATCCCTGGTGTTTCTCTCTTTCTGTTGCCTGGTGTGTTTTTTTTTCAAAGAGAAAATAAGATAATTTGTGTTGCATAAAGTTAAAGTCGTGAGAATGGACTTTGATGCGCCGGGTTTGATCCCAAATAGCTCGGTCTGTCTACACAGAACGGCTAGCCGCCTGCCGAGAGCATCGCATAGTGCACGAACTCCCTAGCTCCATGGACGATCCACAAGAATCTCCGTAAAAATTGCACTTGTGAACGTAATACGACCATTCAGCTCCCTTATGTATACAGTTTTTATCTCTCTGTCGTCTGACATTCTCTCAGTATTCCCCAGCCATTTCAACCTATTAGCTCTCATGATGCCCGTGATCAATGATGATTTAAACAGGTTATGAATGTAACTAGTTCCCCGTGTGGGCTCCAGGGCCCTATTATAGGGAAAACAAGAATAGACCCACTGTCTACCCAAAAGCATGTCGTAAGAGTCGACTAATTGGGAGCTTCCTTCGAAGTCGGAGTGCATCTGCCTAAGAGGCAAGGAACCAGCAATCTGCACACAAATGAGTCAGATCTGTAAAACGGATGCACACGCAACACTCAAGTTTTGGAGTCCAGAAGTGGATGAACAACCAAAACTTTCCACCAGAGTTTTCAGCTGGTGACCGCAAAGAAAAAGAATAAGAATGTAACTAGTTAATTAAGTTATGAATGTAACAAGTGCCGATTGATCTGTACAAAAATAGTCTTTTACTATCAAGTTTGAATCATTCAGATGTCGCTCCCGGGACACGTACTATAACTGGACTTATCCACGTTTGAATTTACAAGTCGTTAGCATGTTCTTCAGAGCATCGTCTCATAGCCTAGTGACAGAACTGTTTTGTTCTGCTAGTTGTCATTTACTTTTCCGGGTAACATTTTTGGCTGTTGAAGGTGTGTACACGTTGGTCTGAAAAACCTCACCTGCACATCCTCCAGTCCGGGTCTTATTCTGCGTTTACCTTCTAAGAGGGGACTGTCATACATCAGAAACACCAGAGCAGGTTCAGTATAGCATTTCACTAATGTTTGTCTGATAGTTAGCTAATGTGAGTCGGAGGCGCGCTGGCCCTCATGCTCGGAGACTCAGGTGACAATTTTGTGTCAGTCGGGGGTAACAATTAAAATCTTGGCTTGCACAAGTTGTGGCGATTGCACTAGCCACGCGGTCTCAGATCCTCAGGCAACCCCCCCCCCTCCCCCCTTTTTTTTCTTCTTCCCGCACCGCCCTAAAAGTGCTATGTCTCGAGCAGTAAAGACAGTTAATGTCGTCTCCAGTTCTAGAGAAGGCCTTGGTTAATATGACTTGTTACATAAGACATTCTAAATCTTTTAGATGCCGCTTTTGTTTGACGCCATGTACTGAATGTTGCTTAAGTGCATGCAATCAAATATGTCATGGTCATGTGGTGACATTCGCCTGTCAGCATGAAGGTCTTAAGTTTAAATCTGCACCACGCGGATTTTAAAAGAAAAAAAAATGACATTTGCTGTCAGGTCGGAAATGTAAACCATAAAAAATACATGGGAAGTAAAGGCAGTCCGTGTGAAGTTGACCACGTCACCCATAGAGGGCCACTTCCTCTGTATAACTATGAGTCAAGCATCTTATGCCGGATCTGTAAAACGTATATGCACGCAGAGCCAGAAATGAACGCACAACCAGGACGTCGTACCGGAGTTTTCAGCCAGTGAACTCACACACATGCGCGATTTTCCACTTACGTGGATAGAGTCGCTTTACCGTTATTTTAAATTGTAATCAAATATTACTTCATATTGACGTGTTTAAGTTTATCCATTGTGTTGGTATATTATTTGGTTGTGACCCAACCTCTTTCCCCGTCAGTTTTTTTTTTTTTTTTTTTAATGAAAAAAGAAACGTTACGTTCAGCCAGCATTCCCTAATAGCGAGCTCTGAGGTTTTTCGCGCCATATTAAGTGGCTCAACATTGCTCGCCACCAAGTAGCCCTGAAAAGGACTTCTGCAGTGTTGATGCGACCAAAAGAGACAGACCCGAATACTGTCCCGACCGACGACGAAGCCGTCTACCGGCCAGCCAAAGGGTGACCCTGTCGCCGATGCACCTCTATCCCGCCCAGTACACTGGTTTCTGCATTTTTGATATTCAGTGTTCTTAAGTTATGGCCTGTGAACATTGCTAGTTAACGCGCGTTGACACCTGCGACATTTGTTGTACCCGTAACATGTTTACTGGTCTGACTTCAGGTGATGTCAACGGCATTCAGATGCAGGTGATTCCGCAGACCCAGGTCATGCCGTTGACGGATGCTCTCTGCAACATCATCATGGATCTGAACCTGCGCCGTATCCTGGCCACCCTGGAGATGGTTCTGGAGAAGCTCAGCTTGTGGTACAAGGATATGACCGTGCCAAACCACCAGCATGTCATCAATACCTTGGATACGCTTATCAAGGAGAGAAAGGTCTTCCATAACGGTCAGTTTGCATGGTTAATGTTGTCGCTCAGTGTAATTTCTGTGTCCCAGTGGTCAAGTCTGTTCTCTCTGTCCTGATTTATGACTGTTTTGTGTGGTCAGTGTATTTTCTGTGGTCCAATGGTCAGTCATCTCTGTGACCCAGTGGTCAGTTTGGTCTGTGTCCCGATTTATCTTTATGTTCTCTGTGGTCAGTGTATTCTCTATGGTCCAATGGTCAGTGTCTTCTGTGTGCCTAGGTGAGGCAGTGACAGAAATTGCATTCGTGGTATCTTTAAAGGTTATTGAAAACAGCGCGATGACGAAAAAAACAAACAGATGTTGATTTTCAACCATGACAGTTAAGGAAAGAAGTACACATACGAGGAAGACGTAAACAGCAACAACATTGGAATTTATAGGCTCACCAGAAATAAGCCTATTTCCTTCAAGCAACAATACAGAGATGATATCTGCGCATTTCGAAAACGGCCATGTTGGAACGACCCCCCCCCCCCCCCTTTTTTTTCTTTCCCCGATAAAACCCTAAAATAAAAAAGCTCCACCATTAGCCAGGTTTGTCTCACAGCGGAACACACACCTATTAATATGCTAGAAATGTGTGTTGTTACTATGTGAATAAGGAATTCCAGTGAACTGTGACTAAAAAGCTTAACTTAATGGGAAGGCAGAAAAACGTGCACAAAACAACATAAAGGGCAGAATTTTATTTATATAAACAGACAATGTATTAATCGCTAGTTGAATGAGGCAGGTTTTAATTTGGAATGTCTTTACATGTCAGTTGTTAATTCTCTGATGTTTCCTGTTATTTCTGTCTCATCTCTAACATCTGTAGATTGAGTATGTCTAGTGTTTAATTAATAATTAAAATCACAGCACTCGGGACACTCACATAACTGCTCTGTCCCAATCTACAGCAGCAAGCACAAATTTCCAGTGTTGTTGGTGCCAATAGCAGTATGATTGTATATCCGTCTCACCTTTCCCTTGAGTGCTGTTCGTCGACCAGATCCCCTGGTCGCTCCTCGTAGTGCCCTTCAGACCATGATGATCCATCTGTGCATTCGCACTGTTCACTGGCTCCCTAAGGGCCCTTACAACATCGAGCTTATCGTGCATCAGTTCATCACCAAGTTGCGCAGAACCAACCTGTTATTTTCCAACACACCGGCATGTCGCGGGGGAAAAATCTAAAAGACGCTAACTACCCAGGACCACTGGAGCTATGCTTGTCACTCTTCGCCGAAAATACCTGTCTTCGTCTTTCTCAACATACTTTGTGAGTTGGTTAAAACTTCGTCATGTGTGTATTGCTGATTCTTAAGCCAGTGAAAGGCTGCAGTGACTGCCTCCATTCTCAAACTAGATGTTGCTGTGTCATATGCCAGGCTTTGATGCACTTATAAGTATACTCAGGTGAAACAGTGTCTTCATTCCAGATTATTCAGTCTTTACTAGCCATCGCCCCCCTCCCCCTTTTTTTCCCCTTTTCTGCCAATAACCCAGAGAAACGAAATCGTCTGCTCAGCTACAGCAGTTGCATACAAGCTTTCAGTTCAGCTGGCACTTTTTAGTGCCTGATGTAAATCCGGTTGCCCTTTTATATGAATTGAGTGCCCGGCTCGCTAGCGTAGTTGGTCCGGATGATAAACTCATTGTGGTCCGGGTACACGCTCGGGGGTAGACAGAAAAGCCGCATTTCTCCCAGATTTACGGTATCTATCATGGAATCAAGGCCGAAGGTTTGCGATATCCACAGTACCGAGCCAAAGGGTTAACAACTCATGGTTTCTGGATTTAAAAAAAATATGAATTGAGTATACAAGTTATTCGATGTTTATTCCGAATGTGTATCAGCGCTTGTTTGTATTAATTAATGTAAAAACACCCTGGTCGTTGATGGGACTAGGACATTTCTTGGTGCTTTGCCGATTTCCTCCCCCCTACCCAGTATAACGTCACATGACAGGCCACAATTTTCGAGGGTGGTAAGTTTTCTGATGCTTTTAACGACCCCAAAACATCTAGAACTGGGCCTAACCCCAACGCACCTACGCCCCACAAGAGAGTGCGGCCTAGGTACCACGACTGCATACAGCCTATCTACCACCCCCTAAAATATTCGACTGTCTGGGGGGGAGTTAGTGAGATAGAACCCATTTCTTGGCACCGATTTTAAGCGGGGTCAACCTGGTAGTCAAGGTTAGCTTTGAAAGAAATCCCCCAGCCTTGATGAAGATTCCAGCACACGACCACCAGGTCGGTAGGCGATCCCTGCATCTACAGTGGATCCCTTCGTGTCGGTATCTTGGGCTAATTTCAAGCTCACTCTAGGCGGCTATTTCACGGTCTGCGTGGAGCCTGGAGATGAGATTGTTCTCTGTCTGGTTCAGTGTGGCTGTGAGGTTGGCCTGTTCGTCAGCGGGACGCCATAGACAGTTAATTGACTTTGGTAGTTCCTCAAAGAGGACTCGTCAATGCTAACCTTGATGGTTACAGAGCCAGACCTTTCTGCAGCCTTCGAGTTGTGGTTGATGGCCGGTTATGTAGGGATGGTTAATCTGTTGCCTATGATGGCAAACCAGAGGAAAGTAATGATCGCGGTATTCATGATGGTGGGAGTAGCTGTATTCTTAGTAATAGTTGTGTAGCTGGAAAGTTAGCAAGTAGTAGTGCTCGTGGTGGTACTATCTGCAATAGTGTTAGTAGTGTTAGTTGGTAAAGATAATACTTACGGAAGTGAACAGCAGTAATAGTAGCACTTGTGAAAGTGCAGTTGCATTTTTAGCAGTGTCCGTAGTAATAGCAGTAGTGTGATTGCAGATACGTAGAAATGAAGATCGTGCACGTCGTAATGTGTCCGTTGTTGAAATCTGGCGCTTGTGTTTTACCTGAGCTATTTGATAGCGAACATGGTGACACTGTAGGCTACAGTGTGTCGAAAGAGGCGATTAAGGAGTTTGGCTACCTCTTGCCATAGGTAGAAAACTTTAGCTACAAAATCCAGTATACCATCATAGAGCCTCCACAGAGTTAGGTACAAGTTGGTTAAGAGCCTATGCTCCCCATGGAGCAAGTAAAATGCAGCAGCAGCAGCACTAGCAACAATAGTCCAACACACCAGAAAACTCAATGCCTTTCTTGTAAAACAAGTGAGAAGCTACTGCTGAGAGCTGCGGGGTTCCTTGGATTGTGTTTGCACTTGGCAGCTTCAACGACCCTAGTTTCATTATATCCCTATTGTTGACCGTATCAACTGTAGTGGCTTAGGGTCACACTCTGGGAATCTCGCTGGCCACTCGTGGCTGTAATCCACTGTAACCTTTCTTACAACCGGTGTCATAAAACCACTACATGCCGAAATGATTGGTGTAATCCACAACTTCAGCCTTTCATGAAGACGTCAGTGTGGTACTTAAGCAATAGAAATAACACTTGATAAGCTTACACCAGATTCATCCACCCGACCTCTTTAATTGTTTTACTGGGGCACGGGTGTCCTCGAGCCGTAGGTATAACATTCTTGCTTGTGTAACCAGGGTTGTGGCTGTGTTTGAGGCGGGCCGCTAATGCAACATTATTTTCAGTTGTAACATGGGTTATTCCTATAAATAAACAGAGGGGGGACCTTTGAGGCCGTTAAATATAATGAATTAATCAAGTAACAGAAAGTGTATTGATCGGTACTTATAGAAAGAAGTAGAAAGATAGAAGAACACACTAGACAACACAAAAATCGAAAACTATAGTTACCGTGCAGGGAATTGAACCTGTCACCTCCAGTCGGCGTGTGCGCCTCTCCATGGATTTAAATGCACTAAGAACATGGTCAACTAGGCACCCCCAATAAAGGCGATAGACATGGCCAATAAGACACCTTTGGGGGAGAGGGTGTGCCTAGTGAACGCGAAGAAGACAATGGGTCAGGCAGGTCTTGTTTTGTAGCAACAGCATGTAAACAGCAAAGGAGCCTTTTAGCACCACCATCATCACCCAGTGGCTTCACGACAGCGAGGGCGATGATGCCTGTCGCCAGCTTGCTGACTCCAGTAACACGTATGCTGACACCCCACCATGCCTTGATAAAAAGCTAACCATCTTTTCGCTTTGTCTTCTTCTGTCACGCTTCAGATGAATCATCAACAGATGCCACATCATGTTCGTTTCCTACTTCTATAACTTGACCAAAATATGACTTTCTCTTTCTGTTGGTAGTTATTAGTTCGACTCTTTATTAATATTTTATCCTAGAATCGTCACATGTCAGTCCAATATTTTAGAGGGTGGTAAGGCTGGGTTTTCCGGCTTTCTGATGCTTTTAACAACCCCCAAAACATCTAGAACTGGCCTAACCCAACTCACCTACGTCCCACGAGAGAATACAGCTTAGGTCACAGGACTGCATGCAGCCTATCTACTTGGTTAGTTGCGTATCCTTTACAGGACGTTGCAGAACCAACCCCAACAGCCCCTGGCTTTTGTGTGGTTTTACAGGCAAATTTACGTCCAGTAGTTTGCCATTGCTTTCTGGACGGTCGACTTTCTTGCTACCACTGTCAAAACCAACGCAATGCGCGTGGCCTGCAGCTGGGATCAAACCCGGCATTACGAAGCGTTCGCATCGACTCAGCCACAGAGCCGACTGCAGCCTATCTACTACCCCCTGAAATATTAGATTGTCCTGTGACCTGCGGATTTCCCCTGTTTGGGGTAGGATATTATTAAAGCACCATAATTTGTCTTCTGGGGCTTTCGCCTCTTTCATACCGTATGGATTACTTATTTTGGCTGCAAAAGCATATAAACATTCTTCTATAAAAGCACATTTCTTGTGCCTCGAATAATGTTTCATCTTGTTAAATACTTAGTACTGACATTTGCACCTCTCTTCTACCTTGAGGGTTATAGAGGTTTGCCAGAGAGATCGACAGACTTTTCTATCAGCAGTTTTCTTTCTGGCTTTGTTCCATTCCAGTCCTCTGTCAGCCAGGGACTGTGACTTGTTTATTAGATTTAAGATTAGACGACGGATCAACATCATAGCACAAGGGTTGAAACCTATAAGTGCTCCGTTCTACTTCTGACTCAAGCCAGAGTCCGAAGAATCTTCGCGCAGTACACGAACTCCGTAGCACCGGCGAGGATCCTGAAATAACTCAAATTTTTGTTCAGGCAGCGCCTTTAGGCTACACTTTTTCAATTTTCAACTGCTACGGGATTTTTACGTGCGCAGCAATGCACACGGGTGTCCGATCTTACTACACAGAGAACAGGAGAAATTACTAGAAGTCCATGTGAAAAACTCCCGTCCTTCACTGGGGCTTGAACCAGGAACCTCCTGCACTCGAGGCGGACTCCATGCCTGGATACCACGCAGACCCCCACCCCACCCCTCGGCTTGTTTATAAATTGTCTTTAATTGACAGCCATTTGTTCAGACTGGTTCTGACTAGCCTGCCAAAACTCATGTCAGCCAGCAAATTGTTAATTCTTTTTTAAATCTAGAGCACGGTGGGCGACAGCAGTCTGGAGTTTTGAAGCGAGAATGTGTGTAACGGGTGTTGAACATAATTAATAGTTATTGCCTTTTTGTTTTGTTTTTAGAGTTGTTGGACATGTTGTCTGTCCTTCGTGTTGTTGTTGTTTGTTTCTGGAATGTGCTAAAATGAAAGCAACAATTTTTTAACGTAAAGTGGAGGTGTCACTTGTCAGATAATTATCACATTTGAAACCCGTGCCATTCCATTTTTCTGGGTGGCTGGGGTAACAACAAGCAATGTTTACTGCACTCATTCATGTTTTCCGTTTGACAATATTGAACACTTTCTCCTACACACTAAAGGTCCCGCGGCGGGAGACGAAGAGGCCGAACCAACGTAAAGCAGATGTCAACAGAGAAGTGTAACAGATTAGCCTAAAGGGTCGAGCGATCGGGACAGTCATCCATTGTTTGGTTTCACACCGCCTGGCTTGCTTTACACGAAAAGATTTTTCATCGCCTTACAACACTTACATACGATTACCCGATGTTGTGAATGAAGTATTTTTCGTAAACTGGCTTTATTTAGACACGTGTTTCTCTCCGCACTGCATAAATAATCATTTGGCGAAGTGGTATGGTGCCAACGCCGTATTTTATATATCATCATCATGTAGCAAGTCCTTTGCAGAACGTCGCTCTCATCACAGTCTGTCTGATGGAATTGTTTTATATATATATATATATAAACAGTCGGACAATTTATTAATCGCCACTCATAGGAAGATAGAAGGTAGGACACACTAGACAACATAAATTATGAATGCTATAATTACCGTGCCAGGAATCGAACCTGTCACCTCCAAATGGCGTGTGTGCCTCGCCATGGAAGCAATAACTCCATGTGTGTATCCGCGCTGTTTGAAGTAATTAAATGCACGCTGGTCGTTGATGCCACTAGGACATTTGTCGGCACTGATTTTGACAAGGTCGGGCTAACGTTGAAAGAAATCCCCCGCCTTGGTGAAGATTCCAGCAAAGGGGTAAAGCCGTGTGCCTGGCGTTCTGGAGGACATGAGTTCGTTTCATGGCTGCATCGTTGAATTCAAGCAATTTTTGCGGATATCCCTGTAAATCGTCTACGGCAGCGTTTCTCAAACTTTTTCGTCTCGGCATCCTTGTCGAGCCGTTTTTTTTTTTTTCGCGGCACACCTACCCTTAAAGTGGTTTCAATACGTGGGAAATGGAGAAAAGGCCGTGGAAATTTAATGTTGAATCATTTTTAATGCGGTGTATACAACTGTTATTATTTCTGTTATGTTTATGGGAAGTTGAGTTAATTGTATCCTCAAATCACTTGAAGGTTGCTCCTGTATCTGTTGTCTAATGTAAGCGTACGCTAAGAAGGTACTGCAGCCTTGCCAGTAGCATTGTTTTCTGATGCACTTGTATTCAGAACTCTTCTTCGCTTCCTTCGTGGTATTTCTATTTTAAACTACCGTTTTCGCTGATTTTAATCAGGTTAGGAACAGTTCTTCATTACTGCCGCGGTACCCTTAGCATACGCTCGTGGCACCCAGTTTGAGAACACTGGTCTACGTAGCTCGTTCTTTGTGCGTTGCCCTGGGCAGGCGGCTGTTCATTTCGCTGAAAGTGACATAGTGCAGTAAAGTGGATTCTCTCGACTTTTACTTGAAAACTGGAAGCGACTTATGCTCCAGATGTTCCTCCATTCTGTGCACACTTTTCTATATCTAGTGATGTGTGTGAGATGGTGAAACATGACCGACCGTCACTCCTCCATCTGTGCACAGTCTTCCAAATCTGGTGATGTGTATGAGATGGTGAAACATGACCGACCGTCACGCCTCCATCTGTGCACAGTCTTCGATATCTGGTGATGTTTGTGAGATGGTGAAACATGACCGTCACGCCTCCATCTGTGCACAGTCTTCGATATCTGGTGATGTTTGTGAGATGGTGAAACATGACCGTCACGCCTCCATCTGTGCACAGTCTTCGATATCTGGTGATGTTTGTGAGATGGTGAAACATGACCGACCGTCACTCCTCCAATTGTGCACAGTCTTGGATATCTGTTGATGTTTGTGAGATGGTGAAACATGACCGACCGTCACGCCTCCATCTGTGCACAGTCTTCGATATCTAGTGATGTGTGTGAGATGGTGAAACATGACCGACCGTCACTCCTCCATCTGTGCACAGTCTTCGATATGTGGTGATGTTTGTGAGATGGTGAAACGTGACCGACCGTCACGCCTCCATCTGTGCACAGTCTTGGATATCTGGTGATGTTTGTGAGATGGTGAAACGTGACCGTCACGCCTCTATCTGTGCAGTCTTCGATATCTGGTGATGTTTGTGAAATGGTGAAACGTGACCGTCACGCCTCCATCTGTGCAGTCTTCAATATCTGGTGATGTTTGTGAGATGGTGAAACATGACCGTCACGCCTCCATCTGTGCAGTCTTCGATATCTGGTGATGTTTGTGAGATGGTGAAACGTGACCTTCACGCCTCCAATTGTGCAGTCTTCGATATCTGGTGATATTTGTCAGATGGTGAAACATGACCGTCACGCCTCCAACTGTGCACAGTCTTCGATATCTGGTGATGTTTGTGAGATGGTGAAACGTGACCGTCACACCTTCACCGAGAAAGATGATTATGATGATGCATAGTTCGCTGATACGTGTGTTATGTCTAAACTGCCTGCGTTTATAATTTGTACAGTGATGTTTGACGGAAAGGTAGGGGTGTCGTGGTATATGACCTTGGCTCCTGGGGTCGATCCAGTCGTAAATGAGTGCCAGATAAAGTTATGGAAAGTCAATACGGCCGGCGTGATGCTGAACACATCACCCACTACCACTAAATGCCGACTGTTCTATAGTTCTAGCTCTATATGCCCTTTGCGCACGCATGAAGGCATGTGGAAAGGTTCATTTAGTGTATGACAAGGAGTTGTGAGCACCCGGATTAAGGTAGCATGGCTCGTGCTGTCACCACTAATTGTGCAGGTTAGGATATGTATTTTTACCATTGACCGGAACGAAAATCTTCATCCTTTTCCAATGATCGAACCCGGATTTCTCGCGTGAGAACCTAATAACTAACCAATTAACCAGTCTCACCCTGTGTACATAGTTTATTTTGGTTACTAACTGACTGACTTTCTACCCCACTAGGACATCACACAAGCTATAAAAACCCGATGACACAAAGTGCCACCATGCGGATGAGGATCACCCGCGGAGAGGTCCCAGAAACCGCGTTCAGCCATTAGAGCATATTTATGGACCGGGCTATATTGCGGCCCCTGGCAGAGCCAGAGTAGGGTTTCAAATAACGACAAATGTGCATCCCACAGGGGGATGACTAGATTGACATCAAACGATTTGTTTTGGTTGATTCAAGGCCAGAAAGTATATCTTGGCAGTCTCGTGCACTGTTCTCTGAAGACAGTTAAAGATTGTGCGGTATAAATAGTTTAAGGGTTTTATTCAAGAGAAATACAACCTTATTGGGAATGAGAATAATAAATACATGTCATTACGGGGCTGCGTGGTCTCGAGGCATGGTGTCCGCCTCGATTCCTAGAGGTCCCTGGTAAAGGGTAGGATTATTTTTTTTTTTCACGCGGACTTCTAGTAATTTCCCTTGTCTCTGGGTAGTGAGACCGGACGCCTGTGTGTATTGTTACGTAACAAATCCCTTGGCAGTTGGAAATAGAAAAGAGTAGCCTAACGGCGCTGCCCGGGAAAAATGTGCAGTTAAAAATCTACCCAAAAGTATTTCAGGATCCTTGCCAGTGCAACAGACTTCATGCACTGTGCTGAGATTCTTCAGACTCAGGCTTAAGTTAGAAGAAAGAATGGAGCACTTATGGGTCACACCCGTGTGCCACGGTGTTGATCCTTTGAACAAACAGCATAAACAACACTGAAGGTTAGAAATGAATTCTCCCATGCTACAGAAAGCCACTTGGTACTTAATTTATAACTTACCCCTGACGTCACGACAACGTCACGGGAGACATTCCCAATAAATTCTAGGGTGTTCATGTTGTAGTTTCTCCCGATTTATCTACAGCCAAGTTTAGGGTGAGGTTTAGTGTTAGGGTTAGAAGACACTAGATGAACACTCATAATCAGCACAACACAACAGCACACTTGCACCCCTTGAAATAATGGACGGTCAGGTCAGCTGTGGATTTCCCTTGGGAATTTCGTGTTTGGGGTACGTTATAAATTAAGAACCGCCACTTCTAATATATGAACGTGAATCCTGGGCGTGTATTCCACAAGGCAGACAATATCTGGAGACCTCGATGGCGTGGTTTTACAGAAGAATGCTTACAACGTGTTGGACATTAAGATCCCTGTGAGTTCCAGGGTCCTGATAAATAGAAAACAAGAACAGACCCACTGCCTACCCACTGGCATGTCTACTAATTATGAGCTTCCTTTAATAAAGGAGTGCATCTGCCTGGGAGGCAAGGAACCAACAGTCTGCATACAAATTATTCAGATCTGTCAAAACAGATTCCCACGCAAAACTCGAATTATGGACGAACAATCTGAACTTTCTGCCAGTTTACAGCTGGTGAACGTAAACAAGAACGAAGAAGTACAGTGAGATAAAACAAAACCAACCTAAGTATTTTATTATTGAAGGTCGCTAGTTGGGATAATGCATTATCCTCCACGCCAGTCGAAGAGGTACTTGATGATGATGCTGAGCAAGGTCGAGACATCAAGAGATGAACTGTGGCATCCCGTATGAGGGAAAACATCACTAGAGAATCACAGAGGACATTTACCGGCTGTAATAGCCGGCGGAAAGTTGTCCAGGTAGCTTGAACTTGTTCTATAATCTGAGTGTTGCGTCATAACCGCTTTACAGATCTGACTTATTTCAATGCAGACTGGTGGTTCCTGGCCTCGCAGGCAGATGTACTCCGACTTCGAAGGAAGCCCCCAATAAGTCTTACTCTTACGACGTGCTTGTTGGAGAGACAGTGGGTCTATTCTCTTTCTCCCCCCCCCCACCCCTCCCCACATGGGACCCGACACACACACACACTGGGAGCAGGTTAAAGTATTTCGGACACTTTAAAAGGCATCGCGCTGGGTTTTTTTTTTTTAACCGTGCTTGAAGGATAAGTCAAAAGCAAGACAAAGGCAACTATACAAGTGGGAAGACGGTGTCGATTGATGGACGAACAGCAGTAAGAGAGTGTACAACCAAAACACAAGACGGAGTGGGTTGAAGATCTGTTGCAGTCAACTTTCACTGGGGAAACAGCTCATCATTCATTAAATGATGAAAGCTTGGAAAACAGGGAAATAACTAACCGGTTGTAACGTTCAGCAGCAAC